GATCGGGCCGCGACCCACGCCCTCCCTGGGCGACGCAGACGCGACTGTGCCCGACCCAAACGCGCCAGGTGGCTCTCCGCTTGTGAAGCCAGCACTTCGTGGGACACTGCGAACTGACATGAACTGACACTAACTCCGCCAAATGGATGTGAAGACCCTGTGTCCTCAGCTCGGCTCCTTGTGGACAGATAACTCATTGACTGTCCCGCGAGCTGACGCCGGCCTGCGGGACAGTCTGACGCGGCCCTGGGACGTCACTGCGAGGGATCACAGCGCCAAGACGTCCTGGCTCTGGACTTTAAGGAAACGGATGTAGAGTGACAACTCTGACACTTGAAAAAACCCTCTCAGGTTTTGTTATCAGTAACCGAGCGCGTTCAAGGGTTTCTGCTCCTGCTCAGGGAGACAGGAGAAACCTGTGTCTTGAAGGCCGCTTGGAGTGACTGGCTGTCTAAAGTGAGACACGCCGTCGAGCCGGGGTGGAGTCTGGAGACCCAGGTTCGAATCTGGGCTCCGTCGCTTGTCCGCTCTGCGGCGGTGGACGCGCCACGCAGACTCTCGCTCCAGTTCCCCCGTCTGCACGAGGGGGACAGCGACAGCCCCCGCCTTCACGGCCCGCTGGGGATTCAACGAGGGGCCGGACGCCAAGTGCCACGCGCACTGCGAGCACAGAGCGGGCAGGAACCAACGGCTAGCGCTGCTGGCTGTCGGCTCTCCCAGAGCCAACAAAAATAATGCTGTGATGTGACGACTAGCAACAGTACGTGATCTTGGATTAGACCTGGTACTGGGGAAATGAAGGTGCAAACTCAAGTGTTTCATCAGCAACACACATGATTACAGTGGTTGCTGTTCTTTAAACAGAGCGTTTTAAAGTAATCAGACTAAGTTTCTTCTCTATCTAAACTGGTCGTCTTTATATTTTATCATTAAAATGGTGATGAAAGCAAGTACTTTTCTGAGAATAAAAACAGGAAAACGACGTGCTGGAAGAGGACACTCAGCGTTGGGCGGGGGAGCTAGGTCTCCTTAAAGGGAGCGGGGAGGCGTGGGCCCTCAGAAGCAGGAGGTCACTCCTGGTCTGTCCCTGGTCACTCCAGCACAAGACCCGTGCAGCGTTTTCCCCTTGAAGACTCCGAGGCGCTCGCTCCTTTTAATCGGTGCAGGCTGGACGCGGGCATTGAACGCCAGGCTGCAAACTCACGGAGCACCTACGGCCCGAGAAAGTCACAGGCATGCGCTAGGCAGCTTCTTCACTTGCTTACTGATTTCTGCATAGTCCTTAGAAAACGTCCTCTCTTTGCTGCTAGTGGACAGTTTAAAAAGCCACCAGGAAAAAAGGGAGGGAACAGGGGAGAGGGAAAAAGCCCCCGGGTAGCGCTGCCCAGCCCGAGGCGCCCTGTCCCACGTGTGGGACGCGGCTCCAGACCCTCACGCTCCTCCCTCGGCCCGCAGGAAACAAAGTAGTCTGCTTCCTGGAAATCCTGCGGCCTGGCTGGGCCCGGCCCCACACGCCCTGTCTCGAGGGATGGCTTTTTCCCGCCTACAATCTGCGCTGGACCGAGCTGGGCACCCAGGGCCACGAAACAGAACCAAATCGTATGGCTGGTTCTACTGCTTCCTGCCAAGTACCCACACGCACACACACGCACACACATGGACGGACACACATGCACCACACGCACACGCACACACACGCATGCACACATGCACACACACGCACACATGGACGGACACATGCACCACACACACACACGTGCGCACACACATGCATGCACACACGCACACACATGGACGGACACACATGCACCACACGCACACGCACACACACGCATGCACACATGCACACACACGCACACATGGACGGACACATGCACCACACACACACACACGCGAACACACACGCATGCACGCACACATGGACGGACACACATGCATCACACGCACGCACACATGCATGCATGCTTGCACACACATGGACGGACACACATGCACCACACGCACACACACGCATGCACGCACACATGGACGGACACACATGCATCACACGCACGCACACATGCATGCATGCTTGCACACACATGGACGGACACACATGCACCACACACGCACACGCATGCACGCCTGCACACACATGCACCACACATGGACAGACACACATGCACCACACTCACACGCACACACACGCACGCACGGCTTCATCGGGCTTTAGCAATAAATGTCACACACGCATGCATGCACGCCTGCACACACGCACACATGGACGGACAAACATGCACCACACACACACGCGCACACACACACGCACGGCTTCATCGGGCTTTAGCAATAAATGTCTGTGTCTCAGGATGGACAAGCAGACGTCCGCGCGGGGCATGCCAAAGCTGCTCCGGTTAAACCGACTTTCACCTTGAAGCCACATGCGACGCCCAGAAGTTCGTCTGCGGTTCACGAAAGCCCCCGTCTCTTAGACTCGAACGTGCTACGTGCTTTGCCCACTCACTGAATGGCAACCGTCCCTGTTCTGTCTACGACCGAGAAACTTGGCATTTAAAAGGGACGCCAGTTTCTTCCAACATTACGGTGTGTTTCTAAGTTCTACTTTTATCTCTGAGGGTGTAAAATATTTAAGTGGTCTAATCTCCCCAGCTTTAATCCTGAAAGATCAACCCTTCAAGTCAAATTGTAACCGAATATAGTTTATGTCCAGTACTAGTAAGAATGCAGAGAATCTGTCACTTTTTTAAAACACAAAGTGTCCCCTACCATTCGGGCTGAAAAGAAAATGATTCTTTCAAAAAGATAATTTCAAAAGACAAATAATTTACACGTGCAATTCACATTCACTTTTACTAAGGTTCTTAAAACAAATGAGAATCTATATTCATACTTTTTAACCTCGTTACAGATGGTCTGTGAATATTGACCAGATTACAAAAGGATGCTTATGCTTTAAATTACTTTTAAAGCTTCTAATACAAATCTTGGACAGATTTTTTCAATCTTTCCATTATACACGATGATGGAATGAATACCTTAAAACCCCATCCCTATGCAGTGACATGAAATGACCACAGCAGCAAAACACAGACAACACCACGCTACGATCACGATTCTGGACGGCAGACTGAAGGAGGAAGCCAGGAGACTTACTGGGACCAGTTTCCAAAACCACTTGGAAGGAGACTTCAGAGGAGGCAGCGGAGAGGAAGGAAAGCAAAAGGTAGAGGGAAAATGCGTCAGAATTATTTTCCATCGACAAGTCACAGTAAAGCTTCCGACAGTGGAGCTCTACGTTTATAGTTCTCGTAAAGTAACATTTGTAAACGTTAATAGTTCAGTTTAACACGTATACGTTTATTTAAAAAACAAACACATATGGATGGAAATAGATGACGACCCATGAATGAGAATCCATCAACTCATATAGATAATAACGAGATCCCAGATGCACAGATGAGGACAGAGCTGCGTGTGATAGAAACTTAACTTATAAATACGAAAACATGGCGTTAGAAAACAGCCCTTTTGCAACCGTCACAGTAAAAACCCATCGGTAGGCTTCGTCGGTGGATGCTAAATCTAGGGCGAGGGGAAATGCTGGAGGGGGACAGGATGCTCAGTGTCAAACGACGTATTCCAAAGGGAAACTAAGAACCATGCAGACCATGTCCTAGCCAAGCGATCTCAGGGAACGTCGCCCAGCGGGGGCAGAAGGGTCCGCGTGCCTCCGGATACGCACCATGAGAAGCACACGGCTCACGAGGTGTTCCAGTCGACATTAAAGCACGGCCTTAAATTAATTACGAGGAAATATTAAAAAAAACAAATTGAGGGGTACGTTATGAAAATGACCTATGTTCTTCGAAAATGTCAAGGTCGTGAATGAACAAGGAAAGCTAAGGACCCGTTTCAGTGTAAGGAAGACCAGCGATGGGACGACTAGCTACAGTACGTGATCTTGGATTAGACCCGGGACTGGGGAAAAAGCCATAAAGTGCAATTGGGACAAGTGAAAAGTTGGAGCACAGGCTACACGTTTGATCGAGGTGTTATAGCGACACCGAATTACCTACACTCTGGTCGTGTCAGTGAGTAGCTTAGTTCTTAGGAAAAACACACTGAAGTGTTACGGGGCCAGGCATGAGGTTTGCAACCTCCTTCGAACATTGCAGAAAAATTTACGTATACGTGTGTAACGTACGTAATGTGTGTCTACACACATACACACACACACACACACACACAGGGGCGTATTTCAGACCCGGGCGTCACGTCGGGTGTCACGTTATGGCGGGGGAGACGAGGAAGTCGCTGGCAATGGCCGTCGAGAAAGAAATTCGCGCGGACCACAAAAGTGCACGCGAGATAAACTGTGACTACAGGACGGACTCTCAGGGGCAGTTCCAAGCGAAAGTTGTGTCATTCGGGCAGGTCGAGTCTCCACAATTACTTAATGGAAATAACAGCATGAGCAAGGGAGCCAGGGCAAGTCCAAAGTCAGGCCACGTGAGCGCTGTATCAGACTGCGTTGGTTCCACACATTTACGTGCGTGTGACAGATAACTGAATCCATTACGGCGTCACAGGCCACGCATCGGCGTCCCCCGGGCGGGCTCCAAAGGCGCTCGTTCCGTGAGACGCCGGTGAGCGTCACTGATGGGGGGGTAGTCCAAGGACGAGATCTGTCTGGGCGACAGGCTTCTCGCCCGGCCCTTCCGTACAAAGCGGGTTGTGACATTCTTAAGGGGCACAGCGTTCCCCAATGCACCTGCCATCAGAACCCTTCTCTCAATTGGTATCTTAAGTGCTGTCTGAAGAAACGCGATTAAAGAAAGTGAGTTAGGGTTTTTAATTGCTGAGGGGCTCTGGCGGGGGTGGACATCCACACGGGCTGTGGCAGGTGCCACCTGCCTTCTCGCTGGGCGAGCAGAGTCACTTCACAGGCTGTGCCTTTCACGACAGCAATCCGAGCTCGCCACAGGTAACCCGTGCATCCAGCCCCCGCCCTTCTGCAAAGAACCTCCCCAAGATGCCGCTTTGAAAGTGGCAAATGTCACATTGAGTACATGAGTAGTTTTAATATTTTGAGACACAAACCCTATTCTCTGTGTAGTTGCTATCATAAACCTGAGACTCCGAACCCACGAAGTCACGGCTCTCAGAAACCATCCGAACGGTCTAGTCGCCGACTCCCTAAACGTGCCTTTTATCTGCAGCTTAACGTCCCCACTCAGGTCGCTCCCCGTGACCCAGTGCCCCACTTTGCTAACGCCGCCGTGAAAGCCACCGAGGCCCCGCCCCAGTCCGCAGCCTCGCGCAGGCCCCAGACGCCTCGCTCCCGCGGTTGTCCTGGACCCGCTCGGCACACACAGGGACGCTCACGATGACCGCTGCTGACTGTCTTCACTAACCTGTCCTTTCCTGTCCTCATTCACAACGTATCGAGAAGGGAAAACAGGAGAATCACTTTAGTCACAGAATTTAATCCAACCTTTTAATTTTTACGGATAAAGAAAACGAGGCCCAGTGCCTTTGTCATGAAGCTAATCGGTGACGAAACTAGTCTGACTAGTCTGGGTCCCGACTCGTTCTGCCGCAGCGCTGTGTAAAAATCCTTCAAGAGAATGAACGTGGCACTTCATGTCCCTGGCTAGACACTTCAGAGACCTTGAAAGCAGGGTTGCCAGATTTAGCCAATAAAAATGCGAGATGCTCGTGTAAGTTACACCGGAAACTACTCGTGGTTTATCTGCAATTCCAGTTTAACTGGGCACCCTCCTTCAGACTCGCAAGAGCATTAGAAGCAAAAAAGGGCAACTTGAAGAAAACAGAGAACATCCCCTCGATGAACTGTCTGCACGAAACGCCTGCCAAGGACGTGGTGCCCCTTCCACGCCTTCCTCCTAAGACACCACGGGACCCGACGAACTGAATCATCGCAGGATGCCGTGGGCTGAATGAGAAGATGCCTCTGGAATTTCATTTGTCCAAGGCTAACCGTACGCAGTACTAGCACCCCTTACACACACGTGTGTTTTACGAAGAAGGTGGTTGCAAGCGGAAATTTCACGAAACGGGAGTCGCTAGACGAGGACTGAGGCAGGTGACGGTGAGGTGGCTTCGTACCCACAGCACAGGAACGAGCAGGGGCAGGTCTCCACCTCTCCCCCGGGAAAGGGGAAACGGGTCGAGAATTCCGCTTTCGCAGAAATAAAAATCAAGAATGAAATGACGACACTTCCAGGCAAGCCAAGTGACTCGAATCCCCAGATCCCACTGTACGGTGACAGCGGGGTTTCTTCCCCTGGTTTCTGCTGGGTCCGGGTTTCTTCGTAACAATGACGCTGTACTTTGCAGTAAGACGATGTGAAATTAATCGTTATTTTCACAAAGATTCCAACAATGAGAACAAGGGAATATTCATTTGAAAAGGAAGGTATAAATGCTATGTCTGTACTAAGATAAAAAGGTGTCATCATCTGAATATTTAAAATGAATCACATTCATTTATTCGTTTACTCTGCCATTCACTCAGCCTCACATGTGCCATTGCATGGGGCTAAGTGCCACGGCGAAGCCAAAGCCGTCAGCATGAACACAAGGAGTGTCTCGATGCCACACAGTGGTTTTTCTTCAAGGTCACTCAGCCTGGTGGTTTGGACACCAACGGCGCTTCTCCCCACATGGGACATTAATCGTGTCCCACGTCATGACAAAATCCCCACCTAGTTCATAATGTGTACGCAGTCCTACAGAACTTAATCATCGCGTGTGACAAACAAGATCCTTAAGGAAAGTCACTAACATTACATACAACTTGGGTGATGCCATCCTGACCTCATTCCTGAGTAGAGCCAGGAGCAAACTGGGGGGCAGGAGTATCCCCACCTCCAAGGCGAAGGCTTCGGCTCCCCTGGGACGGGAAAGGGAAGGAGGACGAACTAGAAAGGACGCGGGGAAGCCAGAGGGAGAAGCCTGGCCGGAAGCAGGCCGAAGCTGGGGACCTCGACCGTGTCACCCGGACCAATGGGAGAAGAGACTGCCAGCTGACTTGGCTGCGGGGGACAGGGTGCCAGCAAAGGTGAGGATCTCGCACAGATGACACAGTCAGCAGCCGGTCAGGGAGCTGAACACGGGAATCGCTGCGGGTCCCCAACATCGAACCACACAGAGCTGTGGGGGGTCTTCCACAAAATCTGGTCGCTGAAGGCGGGAAGACCCCAGCCAGCCAGCTGGCTCCCTTCCTTCCTGCTCTCTCCCCCCGTGGAGCCAGACGGGCGGCAGTGGCACAAGCCCCAGATGGATCCGAGTTCGGCAAAAAAATGAAGAGCTTCGTCCAAATAGAAAATGAGGTTCCTGAATAATTATAATTTCTTACACCTCCATTCAAACGCCATAATGTTTACAGGGCTCTAATTATAACACATTTTAAGAGCTGTAAGAAATACTAGGCTGTAGAAAACATACTTTCGGTCTTAGTATGTGACGAGCACAAATTTTCAAAGAAGAAAACTCTACATCCTTGTTCTGGAATTTTTAAAGAATGAATCCATGTTAATACTTCCTCTTTCTTCACAGAATAACCGTGTGTACAACTTGCAACTCCTGGAGTATAACTTTAAAGGCCGGACTTATTGCAAGTCATTATGAGACTAACACATTGAAACTGTTTTCTTGTTGCTTCATACATTTTACCAAAGTCAAACCATTATTTTTGCCAAAAGAACCTCGGAAATTGAGTTCTAGTCTTTAACGATTTTTCCTAAACACCACCACCCAACCTTCATTTTATACTTCTCCTTACTTGGTGTTGAAGGCACGATTTTCTAGGGTACAGTTAATATCACCAACAAATAATGGAAGGAACACAACTGTTAACATTTCCCAAGACCATAACTATGTGAACACGTGCAGAGTCTCGTGAAGGCGCCACGTTTTTCTCTGAAATAGATACCTTCTGACCTCCGGGAGCTTCAACTGTGTGATGCTCTTTCAACTTCTGTTCTTGTTCCATTATGTCTTTCAAATGTTCATTTACCTTAAAATACAGAAATATTAATTTGAATTTATATTCAAATATAACAGTAAAATAACAGGCACCCTAAAATGCCTGTGGGCAGATTTCTGGTGTCAAATATCAGCGCCACTTGAATGAAGAAAATTTCATGTTCCCAACCAGAAAAAGTGCTTTACAGGTGCTACATCCGAGACTGTAAAATGAGTTCGTTAATTTGTTACACGCTGCCGAGCACCTTCCACACGTCGGAGCAGCCTGGGGTGCTATCAGCCACTTCAGTGGTGTCGCTCAGGAGGCAGTAAAGCTTTAGTACAAGTCTTACGATCTGCTTTAGGGCTGGTAAATGAAAATTATTTTCCCTAAATTAAAGTTGTCACTGGCAGCAGAAAACATCTTGAATCCAGTTCTTACGCTGTGATGTCACAGACGTGTCTCTGGCCCACGGTGAGTGGGTTTCAGTGTGGTCACAGGTCCCAGTTAAATACACAAAAACCTTTTGGGGGAGGTCTCATTCATCTCCTATCAGAGTGTTCAGATAGCCCCAAATCCAAAACGGTTAAGAAACAGTCTACCTGGTGCACAAAGTATTTATCGAGAATATTTAGACAATTTTGGACTCTGGGTTAATGATTTTAAGGTCATGCTAATAACAACTACGTTTAAATTAATGGCGCCCTCAGAAACATCAATGCCATCATCACCCACTGTAAGTCTACCCTGAACCAACAATTTTCCAAACTCTTCTATTGCCTAAAATTCGGTGGTTAAAAAAAAAACGACTGAAGAAAATTGTAAGTTCCGATACATTTAGCTCAACGTAGCTACTGAGAGTCTTTCGCACTTGCGCGTCGTCTCCCGCAGGGCTGCGACCCACCGCTGTCCTGGGCCAGGAGGCCGCAGCGCGCCAAGATCTCGCCCACGCATCGGTACCGGGACGGGAGGCTCAGGGAGGACGGGGTCCGGCTCAGAACCCCCACTACGAGCCGTGACCGTCACGCTTTCCTGACACCTCGGAGCCTCAGCTGCGACTCTGAACAGGCAGGAGCAGTAAACTGCTTCAAACCAACGGAACACAGCGCAGCGCAGCGTAGGCGAGGGGATGGATCGTCTCGTTGGAAACGGGAGAAAATCCTTCCATTCTCGGATTCGAAAAACACGTGCTGCATGCCCAGCGTGTCGCCCCCACTCCGAGTGCCCTGACTTGTGTGATGATCTGCTATGAACTAGACTAATCACTATGGATTATAAATGCTGCAGGAGACACAGAAATCTATTTTCATTGTGTTAACAGTATATATATCTTTTTAGTCATAAGGGAATGGGAAATTTTAACAAGATCGTACAGCTTCAGCTTCCGCTCTGGCCTAAGAGTCGTGGAGAGTGTCTCAGTCGTCTGGGCAGCCGTAGCAGTGAGACCACAGGCGGGCGGCTTACAAACAACAGAGCCGTCTTTCTCACGGCCTGGAGGCTGGGAGTCCAGGACCAAGGCGCCGGCAGACGCGGGTCTGGCGAGGGCCTGCTTCCCGGCCGTCTGACTGCCACGTCCTCGCCCGCAGGGGTCTCCCTTGGAGGGGCACAATCCACGAGGCCCCTGCCCTCCTGACCTACTCCCCTCCCACGGCCCCACCTCCTAAGGCAACACACGGGGGGTCAGGGTTTCAACATGTGGACCTGGGGCCACACACACAGTCTCCGGCAGCACAGCAGTGAATAAGCGAGGCTTTCGGTTTTTCGGGTTATGAGACTCATTTTCCTCAAGTGAGTGTCCCCTACCTTATTTATCCAGTACGTGACAGCATCCTCCGTGTCATAGGGCAGGTCCGTAGCTTGAAAGAAAGCTGCGTACTGCTGAGCACACGCGATGACTTTCTCTATACTGACCATTTCCACGGTGTACGCCATCATCAGGGTGTCGGTCATGGCCAGGTGAGCACTCTGGGATAAAAACAAGAGCAAGGAGTTTCGAAACTACACTTGGAAACTGCTGTCTGTACATCTCGTAGTAACATCTCCCGACACGCAGCAGCAAACTAAAGCAGAGAAGACGCGCCTCAGTGAGAAGGCGCAGAGGATGCCGGCCGAAGACGAGCCAGCGGACCGAAGCGACCGGTCAAACGCTCACGGAGGGGCCCCGTTTGGGACACTCATGCTTCGGCTGAGGTCGCACTTACTCCCGGAGTAACTTACAGACGGCGACATCCTCGACTCCGCCCTCCCCTCGGCCCCACCTGCGCGGAGCAGCCGGTACAGACCGTCCGTCCTTCTAGAATGTCCGGCACCCC